ACCATGTCCGTCTGTCTGTCTGTCTGTAGACGAGATTTTGTCCGGACCATTGGAAGGATTTGTCTGAAAATTTGTACAAATATTATTCATATGAAGTTGTGCACCTGATATTTTCATCTTGATTCGATTATTATTTTGAATTTTACAGGTGTTTTTTCATTTTTATTTTGTGGTTTTGTCCGGACCGTTTCTCAGAAACTATTGCAAGGATTAATCTGAAAATTTGTACACTTATTATTCACCATATGAAGGTGTGCAATTGGAATTTTCAACTCTTTTTGTTCATTTTTGTGCATTTTACAGGTTTTATTTTTTATTTTAATTGACTTGTTCATTCTGGACTCATGTATAAGGTTTGAGACATAGAATCTATACTATCTGTACAAAAATACTACAGCTTAAAACTACTCATATAAACTTAAAAAAAAGAAACATCATCAATTGTTATAAACAGTTTTTACATTGCACAGAAGATAATGTAATTTTATTTATCTCTTGGGAATAATGACTGGACATGCATCCAGTTAAAGATAAATAAATGAGTTTGGTGTGGGAAGTTGAACATTAAGGCATCTCAATATCAACCATGTGTAATCTCTTGGGAATCAGGCACAAGAATTAAAGGTCTCTCTTGTCTTATTCTCTTAATTGTAATTTATTGTCTGTCAAAGCACTTCATACCTGGATGACCAGCTCTTTATTTTCAAATGAATTTTCAACAATCAGTTTGCAGAGTGACATAACACATAATTGCAATATATTTTTTAATGCAGAAATAAAAAAAAAATAAAAAATAATGTTACAATGGAATTACAATGTATAAGTATTGATGTTTCATTTGGTTGCACCTTTGTTTCATTCATTAAGAAACATGATGAGCAATTATATTTCACTGAAAATTTTTGTAAGTTAATTGTGAACACCTCTAGTTCCATAAAGTATTTTTGAATTGGCACCTTCTCTGAAAAACCCAGCGGGGAGTATTTGTCCCTATTGGACAGTTCTAGTTTAGAGTAAGAATTAATCATTCAAGAAAAAAATTGTCCAAATCCTATTTGTTAAATAAAAAGAAGGGGGGTTCAAAGTCGCTTCATCAATCTTATTACTGCAAATTAAAACACTGGGGGATGCCCCCATCAATTCTGTGCATGTTGATGTCAATTAATTTACGCACATATTAAAAATCAAGCAGCCTCAACGTTATCCTTGTATAATTATGTTTCGTTCTATATTAAATTTTTTAAAGGCTGTTTGCGATGCCAATTTCAGAATTACAAGTATTTGTGCGAAATGGCCTGGCAGCGTTCATGACAGCCGAATATGGTACGAATCTGCATTGTGTCAGAAATCTTGAGAATGGTACAGTACTTGTTTTGCAATCACTTTCCTATCATTTCAAGAACACAAAACCAAATTAAATAAATAATTTGCATTTTTTAGAGTGAAATTCTGCATTTCATCTTAATAGGTGAATATAACGGATTTCTACTCGGAGATTCTGGTTATCCGTGTAAAAAGTATCTTATGACACCGTTTCTGAATCCTTCGACTGTCCAACAACAGAGATTCAATGCATCACTTTGTAAAACAAGAGTACTAGTGGAACAAACGTTTGGAATTTTGAAGCGCAGATTTTCGTGCCTACAAGGGGTACTAAGGTATTTGGCATTTGAAAATAAAAAAAAAAGAATAATTTTCAAAACTGAATTGGAGAAATAATCTGTAATTCATTCTATATCAGGACAGACCCACGTCAAGCTACGAGGAACATCGCTACTTGTGCAATATTGCACAACATTGGAATAGACAGGGGTGATATCGTGGATTGTAGACAAGATGAAGTTCAACTGCTTGGTGGAAACGACAATGCATTACATGTAGTTGGTGATGGATTAAACATGCACAATCACATAGTGGATACGTATTTCACTTAAGTTAGATATTTTATTACCTATACAAAACTCGCCAAGGGGTACCTGTGCGAAACGAAATAGAAATAAAACAAACCGAAGCGAAACGAAATCTGCCGAAACGGAACGAAACAAAACTATCAAAATGTCTGCCTAGTGATGTATATATTTCAATGAAGGAACTGCTGAGAGCTGCAAATATGTGCGAGCATACTATGCATGTATACTATTTCAGTATATGTAGTATTTTCTAATTTTTAAGTCTTACTCTCATTTTCAGTCCTTATTCGTCTACATGTACATGGAAAGGGGGGGGGGGGGGGGGTCCATACCCCAAGTGCTTGTGATTATGATAGTTTGGTTTGTTTGCTTTCGGTAGGTTTCGTTTTGATTTCGATTCGTTAGGCCTTGATTACGTTTCGTTTCGGAAGATGTGGCGTTTTAATTGTTTCAGTTCATTTTTATTTCGTTTCATATTTTACAGGTACCCTTCGCCAGATAAGATATAAGATTTCATAACACAGTATTAAATGCTGTTATGCCTTAAAAATAGCTTTAGGCAATAATTAACAGATAAATGTTAACGTATTATGTATAAGTATTTAATTTTACCAGTATTATAGGTTTCAGGTAATTTTTTTTTCTTATATGCAGTCATGTACATTTAATTTTCCAAGAAAATTACACTCATAATTGAAACAATTAACGTTACAATTCATTACCCAGACTTGAATTACTTGTATAAATAATCGAATTTGGATATCGCTCCTCGAACTGACGGACCAAAAACGCCTTCTTAATTTCAATGAACTCCTTTTCTGCCTGTAGTTTCTGCTTTTCAATTATCAATTCCTCAATTTGGAGCTTAATTTTTTTATTATCCAGTTTCACATTTTCCAAATCTTCTTCTTCATACGCATCCTTGATTCCTTTTCTCTTTGGCTTTTTAGAAGAGATTTGATGGCCAGAGGGTTCAGACTTGGGGGTAGCAGATTCAGAGATGGCAGAAGATGTACAGGCGGCAGAAGATGTGCAGGCGGCAGAAGATGTACAGACAGAAGCCGTGCCATTGTCAATTTCTGTTAAATTTATACACAGAATTTTAAATTTTTGTGAAATAAGAAGGTTGAGCAAAATTTGAAATAGAAAGCTTCATCTTATTTTTGTTTGTGCCATCAGTTGTGTCTGTGTCTATTCCATCCGGCAGTCCGCATATCTGTGGTCGCCCTTCAATTAAAAGATTAAAAGAATTTGCGAATAAACTCGTTACTTTAACGTTAGCTGGTTAGAGCGAAACTTTCGTGTTATAACGGGAAACTTTAGCTGTTTAACCAAGACATTTGCATAAGACTCCATTTTCTTGTTTGTAATCTAGTTTATTCAATACAATGAAGATGAAAGGCTATCTTTATCTTGGACCATCACAGACAATAATTTTAAGTTTTCTTGCAATTGAGTGTGTCTTTCCTGTTTCTAAATCTCGTTATAACATGAAAGAAGGATATTATTGCATGTTTCCTACTATCGTTGATGTCCCTGGCATACTGTACTAACTAGACAGTGATTCCTTATATTTCCATTTCATTGTGAAATAAAATTGTAGATTTAGACTTTTAAAATGTAGACATAGATTTAAACAACACGAGGACTCCCATGGCAATTCCAATAGTATTCACCCACTGACGTCACACACAAAGGCAGCCGCTCCAGATTTACATGCATATTTGGCCTCCTTAGCGTCAGAGACAGATGGGCACGAGATTTGCATGCATATTAGGCCTCCTTAGCTCCTGACCTATCGACCTGCCTAATTTACATTCCGGTAGAATTATCAAGAAATCAACTCCGCTAACTTTCAAAGAGATATCACAGAGAAAAAAAATTAGAAATGGAAATATATAGTAATCAGGATGCCCGTCCGTCTGTTACGTCTCTTATATCCGCAACTCCTCTCATACCACGGAGTTAAAATTTGACGAGACTTTCAGAGAATCTTTATTACTTATTGCCAGAGACCAGGCCCCGCCGCCACCAAACTTTAACCGTACTCTGACCAGTAGAGCTATAAACAGAGAGCTAGGTCAATGCAACATGGACAATTTAAAAGAAAACCAAGCTCTGAATTCATCTTAATGGACTGTCCTGAATCGTTTTTTTTTTCTTCCAAAAACCATAAACAAAACCGTATGTCCATCATTTCGAGCAATAAACACTGTACAGAAATAAAAATTGATCCCAAATGAATTCCTAATATTGACAGCTATACAAATTTTCAGGTCTTTAATGCTTTGGTCATGGGGACATATTATGTTTTTATGCCCATCAATTAAATCTCCTTTAAAATATAAACAAAAGATATTGATTTTATCAACTGATATCATCCTAACTGAATACCTATATTTATCCTCAATGGTAACCTTGATATGTTTACTGTCACATTTTAAAGGGGTATATTTAATAATTAATTCTTATGAATTTCAATTTTTAAAAATCCTGACTTTTTTCCAAATATCATTGATTCCTTTGAATTTCTCGCCTCCTGTGTACACAATGCCTTGCCATTATCTCCTGAATTCCAGTCAGATACTTGTTAACTATAAATGTTATAACGGAAGCCTTTTATGGCATATGTAACATTGATCTTTTTAACACTTGACCTAAATCCTGTGTGAAAGAAATTCCAACAAAGCATTAAAATAATTTCCAGCATTCATGGTTGTCCATAACTTATCAGGGATTTCAGAATAACCTACTTGTAAAAGTAATTGAAATCAATACTAACATTGATATTTGCATCCATCTTTTAAAGACTTTAATCACAATTAATTAATTCTGTCCCCAGAATAACACTTTGTTAATTGGGAGTGGGAGGGCAAGGATTTAGTTAAATGTCAAAAGAAACTGAAGTTCTTCAAAAACAATACAAGTTTTTTTTTTAATAACTTTCGTTTTTCTTCATATATTTTTTTTCTGATGAAGAAATTATTTACTAACTTTCAATTCAGTGATCATCCAATACACTCAGACTGAATTCATTCACCAATAATGTCAAACCTCAACTACTAAATTCAAAATACATATAACACCTGACAAATTAAAATGAATTTATTTATCAAAATGTCTAGTATGATGTCTGTCAACAGTTGATTCACTAGCCCAACAAAAATTAATGGAGACGTAACAAAATAAAATGATCTAATAAAGCCAGATTTAAAATATTCATCTTCTTCTTCCCCTTTCCCTGCTCCGGTCATCGCTTCTGCTGCGTTTTCTGGCCCCCCTGTCCCTGCTGCGGCTAACGCTGCGATTTCTGGGGGGTCTGTCTCGACTCCGACTTCTGGTTCTGATTCCCCCTCTCCGACGGTCATCATCCCCTCGCCATGGACTTCTCTCCCACCTTTCCTGCAAAATTTATACAAAGACCAAATAAGCTAGGAATAATTACACTTCGGTCTACCTAAAAAAAAAAAAAAAAAAAAAAAAAACTTTGCAAAATATATGTATCTGTTGGAGTTGGACTAAAATTTATTTTTTAAATCTTTACTTGTAATCTCTTAGCTGCATTTTCCTCTCTCTCTTTCCACATTTTCTCTTGTTCTTCCTTTTCTTCTTGTCTTTTCTTCTCCCGAAGTGATGCCTACAAAATGTCAAATTTTTCATCTAGTGAAAAAAACAGTTTTTAGATTTTCAGTATGAACACTTACCTGTCAAATTGCATACTTTTAATTAACAATCATTCAAAATTAATAGTACATGTTTACAACAGATTGCAAAAAATATATACATGTATCAAACACACTATGTAAATCTTTGTAATCTAACGTTACCTGTTCCTCTGATAAAGGTATCCAATAAATACATGGAGTGGTTTTGGTCTTCTTAAACAAATCATCCAGGAGCTTTGCTGGGGGCTCATCTTCAACTTTCTGGTCTACAACACAGATCAAACAAATTGAAACAGTCACTTAAAAGAAAAGATAATTACTTTTGGTGGCTTTATTAACAGTCAATACACTGAACATCTTTTTAATTAATCACCTCGTCGGTCTCTCCTACTGTCTTGTTCCCCACTCCGACCTCGGCCCCTCTTGGGTGACCTTGACCTACTTCTCCCTCGGCGAGGTGGCCCCTCCTCTCTTTCCTGTGACTGTCTGATTTTGTGGCGGTCCCACTCCCTCATTGGTGGTGTCCGGCGCCTCTTTTTCTCCTCCTCTTCCTTCTTCCTGGCCTCCCGCCTTGCCTCCCTCTCCGCTCTTTCTTTTTCCTCCCTCTCCTTTCTAGTGTCCTGCTTGACCTCTTTGGTTATTACAATGGGTTTGTCTGCATTTTGGAATCTTTCCAGCTGAAAAAATATCAGTGATGTTTAATTTTCCAAAACGTTTTAATTAAAACTCTACTACTTTTTATCAAAGCTACCTCTGGACATGGATATATTAAACTTAGAGGGACCAAGGAAAAAACTTCTCGACATCCATGATTTGAAACACAGGAAAAAAGAGCTATTTGTGACTTCAAACTTGTTTAGATACCGTAAATCTGGAAATTTTTACTGTAGATAAATTTTTAGCAAATTTGCGCGTGCATTGCATTCGCAAAAATATTTTTCTTAAAAATAAATCAACATGTGAAGAATTTTTTTTTCTGAGGACTACAAATTAATTACCCGTGCGTGTAAATTGCCCTCATTATATGCAATATCGTCCGATGATTTAACAAGCACTGTGGCGCGTATGCCCCTCTTTAATTATTTTCATCAATTAATTTGCCAATAAAGAGAGAACTGTCATTTTATCTAACCGTGTATCAACACGGGCGATAACTCAAACTCTGTGCGTTTACCAGAAAGTTCCAAATGTAAACGCGGCGTGTAAATTTAAGGTGAGAAAAAAAGAAACGTTGAGAAAATAATATATTTTTTCTTCATTTGAATTATACTTTAGGTCAAAAGGCATAAACAACCTCTAAAATGTTTGTTATAATTGATTTAAAAATTATTTTCAGTGCAAATCCTTTTGCATTTTTATAAAAATTGTTTCGGAGCGATTTTGCAATATGCTGCCACGTTGTGAATAAACTGGGCATATTATTTGAAACATAACCTGATCTGAAAATCTTCAGTGATTTTAATTTTAAGCACCAGTGACAATTCGCAAAAATTTGAAGCGTAAAAATTAATCAACAGCTTTTTGACCCAATTTCGCAAAAATAAATCGACGTAAAAATTTCCAGATTTATGGTATATCCATGGTATCCAGATATCTGATATACTGAAATTTAATTGTAATTGGATGCAAAATTTGTTGCTTACAAAATCTGTGCCATTTTTACACATGACTGTCCTGATGCAAAGTCTAGAGTGCAATAAAATTTATCAAGTGCAATTACAGAATTGTTAAATAAGTACCTCCTCCTGAGAAGCATATTCCACTCTGAGAACTTTGGGATTTGATGATGGCCATTGGGTTCCATGCAGGGCTTTTCTTGTTGCTGTTGCCTCCTCTTCCTTTTCATACTGTTTGTAAAATTGTTTATTAAACTAATTTTATGTTTTACCCAAAATTCCAATTTAACAAATTACAGAATAAATATTGTATAAAATCTAATTTTATTGGATTTCAAATTTCACACCCAAAAAATGATCATGTGACATCACAAATAACATTATCAGTGTTTCTATGTAAACTTTAATAGATAATCCTCTTTGGGGAGTATTTGTTTATATAAAGATTTGTGCAAAACTTGATTCTCATTAAATTAAGTACACAAACTGTCATTCATTTCACTAAACCCTACAATCCAAAGTATTTACTGAACACATGAATAGACAACTTACTGTTACAATACAGTGGGATTTGATGTTATCAATCCAGAAGCCATCCTCCACCAAGTTTCCGGTTCTCTTCAGTAACTCCTTTAACTGGTTGAGGGTGAAGGGTCGCACCAGGTTCCTGATGTGAACCACATTGGACACTGGTTTTCTGGGAGGAGATGGCGACCTTCTGGCTGCTGTCGGTTCATCTGGTTCTATCAGTGGTTGAGGTCGACTGATCTGTCGGATGATTTTTGGTTCTGTTTCTATCAAATTGTAGAAAGCCACATAGAATGAGATATTTCTTTTATATGTAAACATAAATGTATATAATAACATTTTGTTTATTTTAAACTAATTTGTCCTAATAATTGCCCCTACACCTGCAGGCACCCCAAAGTGATTTACAATATAAAACAATAACAGCTCCCTCCCAAGCACCCCCCTAGTTGCTAACTTTTCAAATTCATTTTTCATTTTATCTAAAATTATTCCCCCAGGTAACCCCCTTCTTTTTTTAGGCACATATGTAATAAATTTACAGCTTGTTGATTCAATAACCACAATGTATTCTCAATTTTCCAAGCAATTTATGCACTTATGGGGCAAAATGGTAATGCTATTCCCCCTTACTTTTCTCTGGTGAAGACTCCTCTTTTTTCTCCACTTTCCTGGCTGGCTCCTCCTGGTCACCTGTGCCCTCCCCTTGCTCCTCATCCTCACTGTCCGACTCCTTGTCCTTGTCATCCTCATCCACGACCTCGCCCTCTGACCTATCATCTCCGTCATCACCTTTCTCCTCATCTTCACGCACAACCTAGTGGATCAACATCAAACAATAAAAACAAAGGATTTAGAATTTTTGGACAATTTAACCTTACTTATAGTGTGGCCACATTTCCTGCCTTATACAGTAAAATGGCTGATTAAACACCTGGAAAATCCTTTTCCACTGTTTCCTTTCCTTTTTACTATTTTTCATGTTCTTTATACTGTCTTTTCTGACTTTCTGTCTATTCTAACACAAAAATTTGTCTCCCACTCTCTGTCTGATTAGACAGGTTTCACTGTAATAAGCAATGTTCCATGGATGCAAAGAATTGAGATAAACTGAACTAGCTTTAAGCTTTTAAGCTCACAGAACTTGGTTTGCTTAACTTACAATTGTTCTTTGAATCTTGACCTCCTGTGGATTTTCCTCGGGTTCATTTTCTTGATCCGAGATCTTCTCATCTGGAAGATCCAGATCCAGGACTGGCTCAGATATAGGGCTGGATTTGATGTCTGGAATCAGCTCCTGGAAAAATTACAATTTTAATTTTGAATTCAAGTGATTAACATTTACTCTTGGACTTTTTAAAACAGATTTACATGAAATTTTTATCCATATGGTAGTAGTGTATATTTTTTAACTTAATTGTTGTTATATCTTACTGAAATTAAGTTTTTGAAATTCCAATTAAAAAAATTAATGTAAACTGCAAAACAATAGTATAAAGAAGGGTGTACCTTGAGTGACTCCGTACTGAACTCTATACTTGACAGTCTTTTATTCTTGGCCTGGGGGGTAGTGGTGGTGCTGCTACTTGACCGGGCCGATCCCCATTTCCTCTTCCTGACCGGCTTCTCCTGGGGTTCCTCAGGCTTCTTCTGGGTCTTGTCCTCGGCTAAAAAGGACAGTGAAATGACTGTGTAGGAGTTATGAAGGCATCAGGATGAAAATCTGGATGATACACATACAAGTACTACAAACCAACTATTATTTGTCATTTTTTATTCCCGTTTCCTCAATTTGAAATCAATCAGCAGCAATTTATTTTCGTGGCTGAGGAAACATTCTCTACAAGTATATTACAAAATCAAGAGTTTCGCAAGTTCAAGAATATTTCTCGCATGTGAATAAAATTTGGTTTATAGTATTTCAGTGTCTCCTAAAGGGTAATATTTTGTTCCTTTTTTGAGATCTTTCATCAAAAAGTAAAAGCAAAGCTGAAACTTTTATTTAGTCACCTCTTATCATATAAGAAGCTATTGATAACTTTTTAAAAAAATTTTGAAAGTTCATTGATAAAAAGAAATTATGTGCAAAAACCTGATGAGGAAACTGTTTGTTGTTCACTCTTTTTGTCTGTTTTCTCTTCCTGTGAAATATAATGAAGTAAAATCCAACATTAAATCAATACGACCAAAAGAGATTTTTCTGCCAAACTTCACTTTTTTAAAAACTCACATTTTCCAAAATAATTCTTTGCACATTATTTAAATTGCCTAAATTCAAATAATTCAAAATTTATATACTTTGCATTACTGTGTTGATGTTTGATTTTTAAAATTTTCTTTAATATTACACTTTATTTCTAATTTATCATGTTTCTTTAAATTAGGCTTGTGGTGGCCCCACCAGTCATGCATCAGTGCACACTGTGCAAGCATGACTGATCATGACCTGGCCTGCTGCAACAAAAAAACATCACATGATTACTGAAGCAAAAATACCGCCAATACTTGAGTGCTGCACTACGACTTCTGACCTATGACCTCAGTTAAGGGGTGATGCCAAAACAAACTAGTATTTCCTGCGTCTGATGCTATCTAGTCTACGAGCAATAGGGATGAACGAGAGAAGGGACGTTATATCGGTGGATTCCCCCAAAATAAATTACGATAGTGTCCTGGCTTTGAATTTCTGTTAGAGGAAGTGAGGTAGTGGGTCAAGTAACATAAATGTCCCATATTTCACTGCATACACTTGAAGGACAATCCAACGAAGACAGGGTCACAATACGCAGTGTCCCAAATGAATTGTCACAGTGTCCATAGTTGTTAATAACTATGAACAATCCAACGATGATATTTGCCATCAACTTTGAACAATCCAACGATGATAGTTAATATCAACTACAAATAATTCCAACGATGAGACCGATTCATCCTCAAAAGAAGTGGAGTCAACAGTGAAAATTCCAATCCTTAGTGTGGTAGAAGTCCAAAAAAGGTGACAAAAGGTCCATAGTTGTTAATAACTATGAACAATCCAACAATGATGAATAATCCAACGAAGAGACTGATTCATCCATAAAAGAAGTGGAGTCAACCTTGGAAATTCCAGTCCTTGGTCTGGTAGAAGTCCCCAAAAGGTCAATAAGGGTCCATAGTTGTTAATAACTATGAACAATCCAGCGATGAGATTTCTGTGATCTATAAGATGGGCCAGCAACAAACATCACTTAATCTATCCAATCCGTGGTGTAGGATAGTAACAAAGGGTGGCCCATAGTTGTTAATAACTATGAACAATCCATGAACGATGAGATTTCAGTGATCCTTAGGATAGGCCAGCAACAGAGATCACTTAGTTTATCCAGTCCATGGTGTAGTATAGGAAACAAAGGATCTATGTTGTTTCGTGTGGTGATCCAGTGTGGGGTAGGTCACAAAATAAAATGACAAAAGGTCCATAGTTGTTAATAACTATGAACAATCCAACAATAATATCTCTTTTGATGTTTGTGGTGTTATGATCCAACAGCAGATCCAAAATTTGTTGTTGGTTGCTAATTTGTGACTTGTACTTTGTTTAGGTGTTAACGAGGCAGTCAAATATACAGATAATATCGTATTGTTGTGTTTACAACTGATTTATCAAATGAGGGTCGACAGCAAAACACTTCTTGGAATAGATTATTTTTATAATTCTACAATGTTGGTCTCTGAATGAAGAAACGCTTCCAGAATAAACGAAGATATTGGAAAGCATTTGCTATACGCAGAATAAATGTCATAATTTCTGTTCTGTAACATATTTGTGGTTCTTTTAATCCCTCAATAAGATTTACACACACATTCAAGTTGGTAGGATATGGATATCTCAAAGCATTATTCAATAATGGACTGCAAGGAACTGGAAAAACTTCCAAAGTCACCAGTTTCATATTCATCGTATCATTTATTCCTCAATTAAAAAACAGCGCAGTCTTCTATGCAATTTCCCCAGACAAAGTGTCAATATTTATTCTGCCCATTGTATGAATCGCTGTTTTATTCAATCCTTCAACTTTTTAAGAACAGGCTCCTGGTTGCATCATAGCTTAAACAGTTCACATAGTTCAAACATAGAAGTTACATTCTAACAATAGCAGCAACTTCTGCAGTTCTTGTTCACCAGTATACATTACGATGGTGTAGCCAGGCAACCGATTACGATGTTGCCATGTGGCTTATGACGTTGCCAGAATTACATGGCAATTGGTTCGGAAGGCCGGGGCACAGGGCATGGGGTGGCTGTCTAACCCTACTAGGGATTTCTTAGCAGACGGCAGCACAGAGCACTGGGTCATCCACATGTCCGTCTTCTCTCAACGTACTATGCAGTATAAAATCTTACATCTCAGAAAAATTGTACAAAAAAGGAGCATTTTCCCTTCAAAAATATTATTAGCATAAGAATCTTTATACATATGTATGTGGCAACACTTCATTAAAAGTATACATGAGTAATAGAGAAAAAAATGAAATTTAAAAAAATCTAAAAGGAAAGCTTGAAAAAATTAATATGAAATCTATCATTTTCTCACTGAAATCTCCTCCATAAATAGAAAAAAAAATCTTTTTCCCCACTTTGAGCTTTTCTGATTTTAATAAACGAGGTCATAAATGATAAATATTTACAGTAGACCCTATAGCTCCTTTTCTGTAGGATGCTAGGACAAGTTATGGTGGTAACACATACCTTGTCTGTGGTAGACGACATGGCATCTGATGGAATTTCCCCTTCTTCCACCTCCATTGATGTATCTCTGTAAAAAAAAAAAAAAAAAAGCATTCTAATGACAGTATTCGTCTTTTCTATTTTAAGTTGATGACAAATTAAGTGTTAATAAGTTGTAGTGGTAGTTAAAGGTCATGTCAACGGAGAAAATTTACACTCTAAAAAAAACGGAATAACCTAGGACATATTATTAGCAACTTCAAATGTCAGTATTTGTCCACAAGGAGAAAACAAAACTTTGGGTATGTACATATTTTTTTCTTACTAAGGTAAAACATTAAGAAAAAATAAGCAGGTCTAGTACATTATATATGACTGTTTGGCAAAAAAAATGTCCTTACCCTGTCTGGGAGTCGGACTTGTCTTTTCCTTGTTTATCCTTTGATGGCTGTTCTTTTAAGGTCTACAATAGAAAAAGTTTAAACAGTCTAAATGAAAATCTCTCAATAGTTCAACTATGCATTCTTTGTTAAGCCAAATTTGATCTTGAAAAATTTTAAAACATTTGAATAGCTAGTGTTTATTTTATCATACAAGCAAAAATAATTGGTGCAATAGCAATTTTCTTAATGATACCTCTAATTTAAAATATTCTCTATAAAACAACCATATATTTTGCATCACTTAAAAAAGCTTCTAAATAATATAATTTTTTCTACGATATTCAATATTTGCTATCAAACAACCAGGGTATTTTGCATACATATTTTTTTATGATGCCTAAGACTAGAGTGTTTTGCATCACATATTTACTGGATGATGCCTAAATCTAATAAGATCACTATAACCTTACCTTAACCACTGACACAGTGCTGCCGGGCTGCACAGGAGATGTAGACCGAGACCTGCTCCGGAACTTCTTGGGTGACCTTGACCTAGATCTATCAGACTCCGACGACCTTGATGATGACCTTGAGGAAGAACTGGAAGAAGATCCTGATCTAGCACTTGAAGAAAACAAAAGCAGTTTTTTTTAAACAAAATAAATTAGACTTTTTTTCTGAAAATATCTTAATACCATAGAGACCATACAAGTGGTAATGTATGCGAGATGAAATTTTAGTGATTTGTCTTTAAAAATCAGTATTTAATTTTTAAAAAAAAAGTAATTTTAGCAATTTTACTGTGCATAGACATAGAAGGATATCAGTAACCTGTAATGTTGAAGAAATAGTTAGCAATGTTTAAAGCAATCTCAATACACTTACTAAAAATGCAAATTGATTCAACGCGCAAGTTTTTGCTTATACAGTATTTGTCTGTTTAAGTACATTTACCTTGATCTTTTCTTCTGCTTTCTCTTTGGATCTTCCTCCTCCTCAGTGTCTGAACCAGATGATGAAGAGGAAGAGGACTTCTTCCTAGATCTTCCTTCCCTCTTTTCTGAAATTGAAATAAACAAAAATTGCAGAGCTTACTCTTTTCTCAAAATCACACACATTAAACAGCAGAGTTCTGAATTTCACTGGGTATATCTTGGTGGAATCATTATTTTTAATAACAAAGAGGACTGTGAAGATAATTCCTGTCAATTTTGGACAAAATGTGTGATTATTGCACATCTTTATTCTTTTTAATATCAGTTAGAGGATGGATAAAAGACTTAGGAGTTACTTATTTTAATCATAATTTCTAACAGTGGGAGATGGAAAATGAATAGGCATTTCAACCTCAGCCCCCTCCCCCCTCCAACAGAATAGTCCTTAATACATCATAAGATTTTTTACCTTTGCTTTTCTCAGCTTGCTTTTTCTCTTCTTTCTCCTTGGTCTCTTTCTCACCCTTATCTTTTTCTAATTTTTCAGTTTTCTTTCTGGCATCCTCCTTTTCTTTTGCTTCTATTTCAGCCTTTTCTTTTGCTGTCTCATCTGCTTTCTTTTTTGCTTCCTGTTCTGCCTTTTCCTTTACCTCTTTGTTTGCCTTTTCCTTAGCCTCCTTTTCAGCCTTCTCCTTGGCCTCTTTTTCAGCTTTTTCCTTAGTCTCCTTTTCAGCTTTTTCCTTAGCCTCCTTTTCAGCTTTTTTCTTAGCCTCATTCTCAGCCTTTTCCTTGGCCTCTTTCTCAGCCTTTTCCTTAGCCTCTTTTTCAGCTTTTATCTTAGCCTCTTTCTCAGCTTTTTCTTTAGCTTCTTTCTCAGCCTTTTCTTTAGCCTCTTTTTCAGCTTTTCTTTTAGCCTCTTTTTCAGCTTTTTCCTTCGCCTCCTTTTCAGCTTTTTCCTTCACCTCCTTTTCAGCCTTTTCTTTTGCTTCCTTTTCAGCCTTTTCTTTTGCTTCCCTGTCAGCTTTTTTCTTTGCTTCTCTTTCTGCTTTTTCTTTAGCCTCTTTTTCAGCTTTTTCCTTAGCTTCCTTTTCAGCTTTTTCCTTGGCCTCCTCTTCAGCCTTTTCTTTGGCTTCCCTTTCAGCTTTTTTCTTTGCTTCTCTTTCTGCTTTTTCTTTAGCTTCTTTTTCAGCCTTTTCCTTAGCCTCTTTTTCTGCTTTTTCCTTAGCCTTTCTATCAGCTTTTTCTTTTGCCTCCCTTTCTGCTTTTTCCTTAGCCTCTTCTTCAGCCTTTTCTTTAGCTTCTTTTTCTGCCTTCTCCTTAGCCTCTTTTTCTGCCTTCTCCTTAGCCTCTTTTTCTGCCTTTCTCTTTTCCTCTTTTTCTTTTTGAAGCCTCTCTTTTTCTTCCCTTTCAGCCTTTTTCTTTTCTTCCCTTTCCTTTGCTTCTCTTTCTGCTTTCTTCTTGGCCTCTTTTTCTGCTCTCTCCTTAGCCTCTTTTTCTTTAGCCTCTTTTTCAGCTTTTTCTTTAGCCTCTTTTTCAGCCTTTTCTTTGGCCTCTTTTTCAGCCTTTTCTTTAGCCTCTTTTTCAGATTTATCAGTTTCTAATTTTTTTTCTTCTTCTGCCTTTCTCTTTTCTTCTTTCTCTTTTTGTTGTTCCTAGAACCATAATATAAGAAACATTTAATTAAGATCTAAAATGTACACTGTATATGCACACTTGTTCTATAATAGGCAGATTTTTTTTTAAATTTAGTGGTACATGTATTTATGAAAGATTATTTGAACTAATCCTAATACCAAATTCCTGAATATAAAACTTTTCTTATTTGGACTCTTTTGCCTACTATTTCTTTTAATAAAGCTTGATCTCGTTAAGAGTTCTATAAATACCTCTGCCGCTGCCACTTCCTGGGTCGAGTCCCGGGAGTCTCGGGAAGTCTTCCTCCAGCGTTTACTCCGGGAACTTCTAGAGGACTCCGGACTTTCCTCCACAGCCTGACTAACTTTTGGAGTTGTCTGTAAGGCAAAATACAAATTTCTCATTTCATTTCCAAAAGATTCAAGTAGTATCTCAATATACATTGAAATTTTTTTTATCAATGCTAAAGAGGATAAGAGAGAAACTGAGTAGTTACTGGATTTCCTGAGATTTCCAAATGAAAATAAAAATTCACAATGTATAAGAACAGAGAAAACTGTCTTATCTAACTTCTGTGCAATCAGTTTCATTGTGAATTTTGACATTCACTTTAATTTCCATTTTACTAATATTCAGTTTTATTGGTCTGCGCAATCCAACACTCTGTCTATTCCTTCACAAAATTGTCTTCCTGCAAGTTAATACATAGGACAGTTTTACTGTAATATGTAGCACCTTTTCTTTGACATCTCCACCATTGGATGATTCACCCTTCGTAGACTCAGGAAAGCTTAGTTTGGTAGGTGTCTTTGTTGGACTCGGCTCACCAAAACTCTTGGATGGACTTTTCTTGGTTGGACTGGACTCGGACTCATCCTGTGAGTTTCCGGACTCTTGACTGTCTTCCTCTGAAAACAATCCAAAAATCTCACATATACATTTAGAACATTTTGCATGCTGTTATGGCAATACAAACTTTTTAACAGTTTCAAGCATTACAATATTCATCTCCATACCTGAAAATCTTTTCTTCTGTTCCACAATTAGTTCCCTTTGTTTAGCTAAATATTGCTTGATGAAGTCATTTTCTATTGCTGCACCTTCCTGGATCTTTTAAAGACAACCAAATACTCCATATTAAAAACTGGCTCTTAAACTTGCAATCTATACTTTCAGTAGTATATGTATAAAAAGTAGAAGTTTTTTTTAAAAAGAAACATTGAGAATAGAAATGTTACCTTCTGATTTGGCACTTCATCTATAAACACAAAACAAAATAAAATAATTTAATAGTGAAATATGACATAAATATACTAATTAGAAATACTCATCTTCTTATGATTCGTTTATTTGATTGATTATGGGTAATACTGAAAATAAATAAGAAAACTCATTCTGTGGTAAAAATCTAGCACTTAAAAAGAGAGAATTTTGTAAATTTTGTAAATAAATCTTTCTTACCAGTTGTTTCTGCATTCTGTAGTTTCTCGAATTGATAGTGCTGAAAAATATACATGTAAAATACAATAACAATCACACTTTATAATGCTTCAAGACTACTAAAAATTGGATTTCCATAAAGTTGGATATTTACACTGAAATATATGTACTAATTCAGAATAACTTGTTCTTGGGCTTGATTTGTTCTAGTTGGGCCAAAATAAAATTATAGTTTGTTTGGAATTGCCGCCCGCCTCATTAAAATACCCCCCGCTCAAAAAATTTTATTGGCAAAATATTAACAATAATTTTTTTTTTTATCGTTTTATCGTCTTACATTGTTTAGTACAAGTTAGTTCGTTCATCGAAATAGCTTTTTAAAGTCGGGTTTGAGCTCACATTAATTTAACAACTCGGGTCAATAAAACGCTTTCTTCATAGTATTTATGATATTATCAATTATAGGTGGCGATTTGACAAAATAAAAGCCGCCAAGATGTCAGACCATGTTGGAAACATTCAAGCGTTGTGTTGAAGAGCAGAACATTTATGCATCTCTATAAAAATAAAAGGTGAATAAAAAATTAAACGGAATGATACATCGATACCTGGAAATAGCTATTGTAATAGATTGCACATTGAACTTGATAAGTTAAGTCCGTCATGTTGAAAAAAAAATGATCGTTCAGTTCCCACTTAAAAAATTACATGGATCAGAAACGTTTTATCTCAAATACTAAAGGAAAAATGTTGTCTGTCAGTATGACAAGTCTTTGAAACGTAATGTTAAAACTGAGGCACGGTGAAAACTCGACAACGTACCAAGCACCCCTCCCGGTTTTCCACAAAACATCCCAACTATTCCTAAGAAATTTTGTGTGGTTCAAACTGTTTGCAAGCGTTTTCTTAACAAAGGGGTAAATTTCAAAGAGAAATACTACGAAATAGACTGATAAAATTATTGTTTAATAAAGATTTCTCAAAATAAACTAGAAGTTTGATGCTGAATTTTTTTTTTCAAAATCGGACCAAATACTATTAATAAAATAAAAGAAAGGATAATAAATGGAAATTACCACTGTTCATTAAGATTTTATTTTTTATCATTTAGATTCAATTTGTAAAAAAAAAAAAATAAAATCCCTCCCTCCCTCCTGGGTCTGAAAACCCCCAGGAGGCAATTCCAAACAAACATTTTTTTAAGGATGGCCTTAGAATAATCTAACTGTGTCTCGGTACAAGCCCTCACCACAGTTAGAATATGTCCCATATACTTGCAATGTAGCAAATCGGAGCGGATCCGCTCCGAAACGATTTTGAAGAATATAAAAGGATTTGCATTGGAAATAACTACCAAATTAATCAAAACACACCTTTTTAAGATTGCTTTTGCCTTTTATCCCAAAAAATAATCCATATAAATACAAAAATCCTATTAATTTCCTCAATGTTTTTCTCTCGCTTCAAATTTACCTGCCATGTTTACATTCGGAACTTTCTAGATTGTGCGTAGTAAATCACTGAGTACGAGTTATCGCCCATGTCTGTTTTGCTACATTACGAATACACGGAACGAATTCTATCGTTAAACCGGGTCCGTAGGATAATATCATTTTAACGATAGAACGTTCTATCTAGATTTGTTCTAATGCATGTGATGATTCATGCAACTTTTCTCAAGCATTTCTTAATTTGTACAAAATCCTATGCTACTTTCACACGCCTGCTAATCGATCAATTGCACAACCAGCAGTTGTGTATAACAATCAAAAGAGATCGATTTCCGGTTGTGCAATTGATGCGAATAATTCCAGTACACAGGTAGTAAATGGACCCGATTCAGGCAATAATTGATATCTTTATTAGAATATAAGAATGTGATTCCATGAGCAATTTATTTTTCTTTAATTTTACACTCTCATAAAATGCAGTGATTGTCGATTAGCGACGATATTTGTTTTGAAGCAAGGGCTGGTAGAGCGAAAACGCTGATTGAAAATAATGTTCGCTGACTAAAATTCGTTTTAATCTCAACTAACCTTGAAAATTCAATGTCTACCATGAGTATGCTACAAGTGCATCCTATCCACCAAACCTGGGACTTCGATATGTGTATAATTTGACAAATATTCGTAGAAAATAACATTGCTTATGCATGCGATCATTCAGTTGTGAAAGAGATCTCGGGTTATGCATGAGATGAAGGATAAAAAGTTAAGAAAGTATTACACAATCTCCATAATTCACCTCTTATACTATTTTATTTTGGGTAATTATAAAATTTTAAATATTGGCTATAATATGAAGACGTTGCAGTGGCAGATCCAGCAATTTTTGAAAAAAAAAGGGTGGGGGGGGGGGGGTGTCCAACACTCATGCATATAGGCACTTCAAACCTGGCAACACTGAGTTTTCAACAGTTCTATGGGGGACTTTGACAAGCCAAAAACAAACAAACAAACAAATAAAACAAAAACACAAACAAGCAAGCAGTAGATATACATGTAGCTATAATTCGCTGGGATCTTCCATTGGTTTCAAAGTGAAACATTGTATAGGACGTGTTGGTAGTCCACCCAGGGCTCGGATTGTGACGGTATTTGGAGGAAAGCATATTAAACGAGGGAACTCTATTTATAGCGATCAGAAAGGACAGAGATTGAACAACATGTACAGTGTACTGAGTATTTATTTTATTCGAAATATTTTTTTTATTCAAAGAATTTATTTTATTCAAAATATTAGACGTAATAAAATATCCATGTTACATAACTCTCTCTCTCACTCTCTCTCTCTCTGCAAAAATAAAGGGGAGGATCCAACCCCAGGAACCGCCAATGATGTTCAGTCCTTTTTGTTTTGTTTTTCAGCAGCAGCGGCCGATCTCTATTATAGGGAAATGAAACGTTACTTTTCATCAGTTCTATAAAATAATCTTAATTTTAAAAAATTGCTTTAAACTGAGCGTTTATTGTTGTTGTTTCAATTTCATTGTCATTTCTAATTGGATAATTAATAATATATGGTTATATAGAAAGAGTTTGTACAATAGGTACTCCCAAACCAGGGAGTGTTCAAGATATGAAAGGAAATCGTCATGATTTTCCAGATAATAATGAAGTGGTAAAAGTTGCAAGGTGAATAAAAAGTTTTTCAACAACACTGTAGCAAAAATTGTTTTGAATGTGCTACAGATGTGACAAAAAAGATTTTTCTTACATTTTTTCCATCATACTACGCGCCTTGAGTAGCCTATTCTGCAGAAACCATGGGTATTATCACGTGTCAGGCAAAGATCCTTGCAGGGTTTCAGCATGTGGTTCAAAGGTCTACATCTTCATTCATACATTCTTATCATTTTTGACTTTTTTTATTGATTCATTGATGACATTGATGCTTTTGAAAATAAGAAAGTAATAGTAATTTTTGAAATTATAAACTTTGCGGCCGATTTAATGCTTTGCATCAATTTTATTTGGATTTTTTAATAGTGGTATTTTTTATTGAACGATTATTTTTTGTTTTTTGACGATTTTTCCCCTATGGTATACATGATGAATAAATGTAATAAATATAATTTGTGAGAAAAAACAGTGTCCAACAAGTTCGGGGGTAGAATATCGGAGGGGGGGGGGGTGTCCTGTCCACCAGCACCTGTAATGTGATGTTGTCATCTTGATCCTTTCCATCTTTTATCCAAATAAAATTGATGTAGAGCATCAAATCGGCCGCAAAGTTTATACATGTTATTTCAAAAATTACCAGTACTAGTACTAGAATTATAGCTATATCTATTATATCTATGTATATCTACTGCTTGCTTGTTTGTGTTTTTGTTTTATTTGTTTGTTTGTTTGTTTTTGGCTTGTCAAAGTCCCCCATAGAACTGTTGAATTGTTGCCAGGTTTGAAGTGCCTATATGCATGCACACCCCCCCCACCCTTTTTTTTCAGAAATTGCTGGATCTGCCACTGCAACGTCTTCATATTATAGCCAATATTTAAAATTTTATAATTACCAAAAATAAAATAGTATAAGAGGTGAATTATGGAGATTGTGTAATACTTTCGTAACTTTTTATCCTTCATCTCATGCATAACCCGAGATCTCTTTCACAACTGAATGATCGCATGCATAAGCAATGTTATTTTCTACGAATATTTGTCAAATTATACACATATCGAAGTCCCAATTTTGGTGGATAGGATGCACTTGTAGCATACTCATGGTAGACATTGAATTTTCAAGGTTAGTTGAGATTAAAACAATTTTACTTTTCAATTGCGTTTTCGCTCTACCATTGCTTCAAAACAAATATCGTCCAATTACAATCACTGCATTTTATGAGAGTGTAAAATTAAAGAAAAATAAATTGCTCATGGAATCACATTCTTATATTTTAATAAAAATATCAATTATTGCCCATGTGTGTACTGGAATTTTTTTGCACAACAAATCACCCATACACAACTGCTGGTTGTGCAATTGATCGATTAGCAGGCGTGTTTCATTTCATCCCTTGCATATTTATTACTGTAATACTAGTAATGTCAGAATGGATAAGATGATCATGTGTTTCATTCATGATAAAATTTGATGTTGTCATTTTATATCAATACCACTTGAATATTCAACAATCCAATTCAACAAAATGAAATAACATCTTAATTACCCGTATGCCTTTTTTAAACACAGCCACAAACTGACTTGTCGATCCTAACAAATTACATTAAGGGCATTTTGTTAAATTTTCAATTCCATGAAGGGACAAAATGCATACAGATCGCACACGTTTTGCTGTGACAATGTATACAAACCCATTTTTACTCTTAAGAGTCTTATAATACACGCACCGCTTTAAGTCTTTCAATCAGTTCTTTCTTTGTTCCATTCTTGGGAAGCTTATTTTTGTCACATTCCTTTTTAAGATCAACAACTCTGAGTTCATGAAGCGGTTTTCCTCCAACGGTAAAATTGTCGTCCTCCATGTTTATTCCAAGCTTCCTCCGACAGTTACCGATAGTGCTTCGGGCTTTTCGTAAAATATGTAAAAACAATTCTGAAATGAATTCTAACTGCAGTTTGAATTATTTTTTAATATACATTAGATTAATATTTTGAATTCTACTAAATTCTCTGTGTTTTATTATTTTTCTCCTTTATTTTTTTCTTCGAGTGTTTCCGGAATTCATCGGTATTTCTCGGAAGACGGAAGTAGCAGACAGCTGAGACTGAATCAGCCAGGCAGCACAATGGATACTACATTAGCTGCTGTAATGAAAAACATTGCCGAAGCACTTCAGTTTGATTACAATAACAAACTAGAGGTAAATAATTAAATCTTCTTAATCATAATAAGCATTTTTTCGCCTGCTTTATTTGTATAAAGGTACAAAGTCATGCTGTGCAGTCAATATCTGACAGATTCTGAAGGGAAACTGAAAGTTCATTACATGTTTGTGATTTTCAATTTTAATAAGCACATGCGTAGATATGTAGCATGTTGTATTTAGAGAAATCAATGTGTTGTTCAAATACTGAGACAATACTTTTTAATGATATTTTTTACCCAAAAAAAACTTCTCATGAACATTTCTGCTTGATACACATCACTCTTTTTATTCTGTCACCTTCTTATAAACAGATACATTTGTATGTCTTAAATTTCAAACCAAAAATTAATAGCATGCATATAATGTCTCAAAGTATGTACTTGTTGAATATTCATGCCCAAGATTAATATTAATCACCGTCTTATATAGTGTAGCTTATCCTTCTCCAAGAAATAAAGTAAAACACCCTTATAGGGAACACCCTTATAACTATAGTGAAGTGATCCCCATTCCCAATGACATTTTGGCTATAATGAAATACACTTATAATGAAACAAAATTGTCCATCCCCTTCAATCTGTTATAAGCATGTTTTACTGTATTTCGATCTCCTTATTAAATGATTTTCTTCTCCTTTAATTAATAGGATGCTTATGTGAAATATGCAGAGTGTGTTCTCCAAATCATGACAACCCTGCTCAAAGATGTAAAAGCCAGAGGTAAAATTGTCATAGGAAACTCTTATAATTATCTTTTAGGTCATTTAATTTTTTGTAGATAATAAAAGTCAATGATTTAAGGTCAAGCAAGAAAATTTGTAATGTATATAATATCACATGTACATGTTTTTATTTACAGTACTGTATTTTTGTAGATAACAAAGTGTTTATAAATACAGAAGTGGTGAAGTTTGTCAAACTGGGAAGTCAGTGCATTGAAAGGATTGGAATTGTTGTTAACAATCTCTGTAAGCTGCTTTTGTTGTAGCTAATTATTTGTTATCCACACATTTTGATTTAAAGATTAATTAATGCACATCTTCTGAAATATGATATGATCAGATAAGAATTCTTTCAAAAATGGCTCTAAATACAAAAACTCAAGCAGAGTTCTTGAAATCTTTTTTCCGCTGTCAGTCATTTGGACTGACTGCCATGTGAAGTTTGTCAGTCCAGACAGATTTCTATCAGTCCAAAAAAATTAAATAAAAAGATGAAAACTTTGTTCGATTTTATTATCAATACATTGTGCACCATGTTTCAATAAACACTGCACACTTCATGCTGATTTGATTGTCAATTTTCTTTGAATTATCTCGGGGGTCGATTTTCTTCATAGGTTTTTAATTTAGTTTGATTTTCTCACTTGGCTTACCATAGCACCGTCAACAAACCTGTTTTTTCAGATTACCAATCATAGTTTGACACTTGCGTTCATAGAAAAAGCCATTACAAGATTGAAGAAAAGAGTTTGAAAGATTACGATCGGACGTTATAGGGACTTCATACAAAATTTAGTCAGATGACACTTGCGTTTATAGAAAAAGCCATTACAAGATTGGAGAAAAGAGTTTGAAAAATTACGATCGGACGTTATAGAGACTTAGTACAAAATTTAGTCAGATTTTTGCAAGTTCCTCTGTCAACATTTACCTGTCATTTGGACTGACACAGAACACAAAGTAATCGGTCCTTGGTTGTTTTTATCGGTCTTGCCGACAGGACCAAAAGATTTCAAGAACTCTGCTCAAGATTTCACTAGTCTGTATGATCCAGATGTTTGAGTTTACCTCCACACATCCTTGTGGATCAAGGTAAATGGAAATATCTTGGCGATGCAGTCTACATGTAAAACTTAAACCACTCGAATTGTGACCTATTTAAATGATTTTTTCCACAAACAGCCAGAACATCCCCAATGCCTGACCAGAAACTTGACATGGTGATGAGGACCAGCTCACATCCGAGTACAGCCACATTTGACATGGAATCTCACACACCAGGATTTAGATTTTCTGCTCCCGTACCCCCAATACCAGAAACTGCCGACAGACCAACATACCAGAGGTATGATAAAACAGGTCAGAGATGAAAAAAAAATAATCAAATGAAGGGTAATGTCCCCTTAAAATTTTGCATATATCTTAGAAGAAATCCTCTTTGAAAGAATGGCAGGGCTGTAATTACTGTATACAGGGAAATTTTTGCCCCCATTTATTTTTGCCCCATTTGCCCTTGTCACATTTGAGTGAATTTAAAATGGGGCGAAATCAAAGAACACTGTATAATTTCTTAAACAGAACTGTGAATGGGCTAACTTAAACTGGTTAAAATTGTTAGCAAATGTAAAAGGGCGAAAATAACCCTGTATACAGTAATCATTATAATATGCAAATATCTTCATATTAATATTACCGGTATATAGAGCAGAGTCTTTGCCCAGGAGGTAGAATGAGATCACAATAAGATCTTTTGGGGAATATGATTTTAACAAACCTTCTTTTCAAGAAAGGATGATTAGTCATATTTTTATGTAATTATACTTTTTTAAAATGCAAATTTAAGTTTTTTTTATATCTTTAGACTCTAGGCAAGGCTGGTGTCAAAATATGCAGGCAGGCATCATATTTTTTCCATGGGAATAATTGTGTGGGGGGGGGGGGGGGGGAGGAGGATTTCCCGGTGAACAGCAGAGCCAGGGTGACTTCAGTGAACATTTTGACCCATGGGTCTCTTGTTCAACTTTACTTTTGTTGTTTCATTTGATAGGAGCTTTTAGTATGTTACTTATCCTTCTGTTTGAAGGACCAGGCCATTGATTACTCCACCTGGTTTATCATTATCATTTATGACAAAATTTTAAAATTATGTTTATGTGAATTTTAAAGGACCAGATCATTGGGACCAATGGAGATGGCCTACAGACAAAACCAACAACTGATGAGAGCTTACAAAGCCAGACAGGCCAAACTCAATGCCAGGAATGCCTTCAATCTGGTCTGTTCAGTGATTTACGTTTTTCATAAAATTTCATCAAGTAAAAATAAATACTACTGATTTAAAACCATTCCACTCTGATGTGTGTAATACAGCAAACATTACAGTACAAATGTTTAATTCCCCAAACATCTTTTTTGCAGAGCCTGACATTGCAGAGAAAGATGGCAGAAAATCTAGCTATTGCTAAACTTCAGGAAGAAGCTGTATCCTTTGCTGTAAAAAAAAAAATCTTAGGTTGCATTTCAATATTTGTTTTGGACAGTCTATTTGCAGGCATGGTCAATTTGCTAATACATGTATATGATCTCAAATTGTCCACTTAGAACTTCTTTTCAAATTGACATACGTAATTGTTATCTTTGGTATTTTGTTGTGCTTCAAAGTCTCAAAGAAAGTGAAAATGAATTTGACTTATTCTTATATTGGGTTATGATACAAGTGAAAAATCCTTAGCAATTGTTTTAAGCTTGCCAAGAAGATGCAAGATAGACAGAAGAGATTGGATGAACTGGCAAACCAGTAAGTTAATTAGAAAATCTTTTCAGTACATACATTGTCTATCATTTGTTAACTGGCAAATAAGTGAAAATGAACTGACAAATGCTTTAAGAATTGAATATATTGGCAAATCAATAAGTTTTCCTGCAAATCAGTAAGTGAACTGAAAAATATCAGTCGAATGAATTGCCAAATCAGTAGGTGAACTGAAAAATCAGTTAATTGAACTGCCAAATCAGTAAGTAAACTGGCAAAACAATAAGTAAACTGGAAAATCATGCAGTATGTGATCAGGGAAGGGATGAAATAAAAAAACAACTAATATTTCAGAAGTGAGAGTGTAATGTTGTTTTAGATAATTTGAGAATTTAAATTATAAAATATGCCAGGAATAATAAAAAAAAAATAAGATGAAGATAAAATGAAGTTATTTCAGCTTTCATTGAATTTCATATTGTTTTGTAGAAAATTTGGATTGTCTGACAAGGAAAACAAAGAAATTTACAAACAAGTCATGATCTATGAACAAGATGCTGTGAGTGGATTTTTCATTTGTTGTTTTTTTTGTTGCTTTTTTAAGTCATTTTATCATTTTAGTGTAAGTGTTAGTACACCCTAATTTGAATGCATTTTTTAGAAATGGTTACAAAACATGCGTAAGGAACTTGAAGAAAACCCAACAGATCAGTCTGTCATAAGTAAAGTTATGAATTCAGTCCTGAGGTAAAATTTCAAATTGTAAAACACATACTTGTACAACAATAACTTTTCAATGTCATTTCAATCTGTAAACTATGTTTATCTTAGAAGATATGAAAATTATAATATTCGAATTGTTTTTCACAGCTGCAAAGATCACCCAATTACTGAAAAATTGAAAGCCTTTCAATTCAAAATATATGAGAGAATCTATCCTTTGGTGTGTGATAAAATGGAAGGATTAAAACGTATAAATGTCCCTTTAGACAAGAGTTTATGGCCTTCAAAGCCAAAGGTCAAGGACAAACTGGAACAAGTAAAAACCAGTAAAGATTCAGGAGATTCTTTAGAGGAGAAAGTGAGAAGTCACAGTTCAGAGGAGATAACTCTTGGTAAAGATTCCAGTGAAACATCCTTAAGTGAAATGGAAGATAAGTCTCAAAGTGAGACGAAAACAATGGAAGAAATCAGTGAAGATGTGAAGGATGATCTTG